TCAGCTTGATCGGTCGGTTTCTCCCCTTCACGTACCCCCCTATTCTCTGAAAATTTACAATCTCGTCCATGTCTTCTCCCCCTATTTCCGTGATGATTTTCCCAATCTCCTTTCTTTCTTCCTGCCATCTTTCAGTGTGCGTCTTTTACTTTCTCTCCCGAAGCCCATGGATAAACACTGATTTTGCCCTTTCCTCCTCCCATTGCCTCTCCCTCTGTGACTCTGGTTCCTGTCTGTATATGGTAATTTTCTCCCTTGATTTTTCCAGTGGCTCTTGGTAGCATGGTTGTGCCTCAGCATTCGACTTATCTCCCTCTCTATCTGCACCCAGCTGCTCTTTCCTTTTACTCCCTGACCCTTCTTTGCAGGCTGATATGACCTTAGCATAATTCATATCTCCTTCCTTCCTGTTCATACTCTCAGCTTCATATGCTGTGTCTTCTCTGGTCACTGCCCCTGAGACTTGCTTCAGCCTGTTTACCTCAAACTCTAGGACCCTTACCCTGTCTACTGCAGTTTCGACTTGTGCCTCCCATTTCTTCGTCTCCTTCTCCAACCTCTTTTCCCATTTCGCAGAGAGCTCTTTCTCCATTTTTTCAGAAAGCTCTCCTAATTTTCTCTCCCATTCTTGCTCCATCCTTCTCCACTGCTCCTCCACCCATTCCTCGCTACCAATACCATTGTCAACTGATCCCTGATTCCTACGAGTCCCAACCATTTTTTTTTTTTTAGTAAAGGAAAGAGAGAAGAGAGAGAGAGAGAGAGAGAGAGAGAGAGAGAGAGAGAGAGAGAGAGAGAGAGAGAGAGAGAGAGAGAGAGAGAGAGAGAGAGAGAGAGAGAGAGAGAGAGAGGAAAGGTAGAAGGAGAGAGAGGGGGAGAGTGAAAAGGAAAAGGGGAGAGAGTGAGAGAAGGAGAGAAGGGAAAGATAAGGAGAAAGGGGAGTGAGAAGGAAACAGAGAGAAGAGAGAGAGGAGAGAGAGAGACATAGAGAGAGAGAGAGGAAAGAGAGAAAGAGAGAGGGAAGAGAGAAAAAGAGGAAGAGAGAAAGAGGGAAAGAGAGGAAAGAGAGAGGAAAGGAAAGAGAAGAAGGAAAAGAGAAGAGAAGAGAGAAGGAAAGAGAGAGGAAGGGAGAGAAAGGTAAGAGAGAGAGAGGAAAGAGAGAGAAAGAGAAGAGAGAGAGAAAGAATAAGAGAGAGAGAGAAGGAAGAAGAGAAGAGAGAGAGAAAGAAGAAGAGAGAGAGAGAGAGAAGGAAGAGAGGAAGAGAGAGGAGATAGAGGAGAGAGAGAGAGAGAGAGAGAGAGAGAGAGAGAGAGAGAGGAAGAGAGGAAAAGAGGCAAAGAGACGAAAAGAGAAGGAAGGGTTAGAGGGTCAGTTCACATAAAGGTGTGAAATCCTGTATATGTGTGTGTATGTGTATGTGTGTATGTGTGTGTGTGTGCTACAGCTATTTAAGTGCCTAACAGCAGATCCTGTTCTCACCTAGTGTGTGTGTATGCGTGCGTTTATGTAAGCAGTCCTTATTTCCCTCGTATGTACTACATATGTTTTGCATATGTACCCTATCTCTTGGTTTCCACTGTACTGTCTTGTGTGCCAAAATTACGTAAATTCACATAAAGGTGTGAAATCCTGTATATGTGTATGTGTGTATGTGTGTTGTGTGTGTGTGGTGTGTGTGTTGTGTGTGTGTGTGTGTTGTGTGTGTGTGTGTGTGTGTGTGTTTTGTGTGTGTGTGTGTGTGTGTGTGTGTGTGTGTGTGTGTAAAACTTGCTATTTTGGCTTAAATAGCAACGCTGTTCTTGCTGAATAAGGCAAGCGAAAATTTGTGTATGCAATAATTTCGCAAAAATAATTCTAAACCTAACGAAAAAATATATATTTCATTATGTTTGTTTATTATTAAATTATTTAAACTTATCTAAAACATATTTAGCTGGATTAGGCTAAATTAAATTGCGCTTCTTATAATAAGGTTAGGTCAGTTTTCTAAGGCGCTTTTGGTACAACATTATTAATTCGTACATTAACATAAAAGAAAACAATATATATTTAAACGTATAAGATAAAATTTTAGAAAGGACTTAATTTTAAATGAGTTCTTGCTAATTGATAAATTTTACCTATTCGGTACGACATACACACACACACACACACAGTTGACGCTTCAACACTTAGACCCGGATTTTGGAAAAAATTTGAGAGATTTGCGACCCAAAAAAAAATTAAGAAAAATTTAGATATGTCATGCATGCATAAAATATAGGTACATATTAGTAAATTTTATCATTTTTAGTAAGCATAAAATATACACAAATCTATTATAAAAAATTAACATTTATCAGAACTTACTCAGAACTTACACAAACAATTACAGAACGCACAAGTTCCATTCGCAGTCAAGAGAAACGTAAACAAACGTAAAGATGAAATAATATAATGTAATAATAATATAATAATTATTATTCTTATAATCATCACTAAATGTTAAACCCACAAGGGTTAATAATATAATAAATAATAATTATATTATAATACAATAATAATAATAATAATAATAATAATAATAATAATAATAATAATAATAATAATAATAATAATAATAATAATAATTACAGATCGTATATCCGCAGTCGAGAGAAATGTAAACATATGTAAAGATGCAGTATTAAATCATAAATAAATATGAATTCCTTTTACACATTATCTTTTCATTTTTGTACTTCCCACCTCCAGGACTCAAGTCCGGCTAACCAGTTTCCCTGAATCCTTTCACAAAATATTGCCCTGCGCACACTCCAACAGCTCAAGTCCTAAAACCATTCGTCTCCACTCAACCCTCTCTAACACACTCACACATGTCTACGGTATGCCCAAGCCCCTTGCACACAAAACCTCTTTTATCCCCTCTCTCCATCCTTTCCTAGGACAACCCCTACCCCTCCTTCCCTCCATTATAGATATATACACCCTCCAAGTCATCCTATTGTGCTCCACCCTCTCTAAATGACCAAACCACCTCAACAACCCCTTCTCAGCCCTCTGAATAATGCTTTTGGTTACTCCACACCACCTCCTAATTTCCACACTACGAATTCTCTGCATAATTCTAAAAGTCTGAAAAGCGAAGCAATATTTCCCATAAGAAATAATGGAAATACAATTAATCCGTTACAAAAACCTAAAAATATTCACACAAAAAAAAATACATTTTATAGAGATTAATTATAGTTTTACATACACACAACAAATATAGTGTTCAATTATGTATTAATAAATTAAAATAAACATATAAAATAACATTTTACCTACCTTTATTGAAGATTGGTGATGGCATCTGGAAGATAGGGAGGAGAGAGGGAATTGGGGTTAGTGTTGGGGAAGGAGAATCCCCCTCCATGAGGACTTCAGGTTTCAAAGCTCTCTCTGGGGCTACTTCCCTTCTCTGTCTTTTAATGCCACTAGGCCCAGCTTGAGTCACTGGACCCCTGTCTCACAAAATAACTGTCCACAGTCCTCTGTTTCTGGTGCCTCTTTAAGATTTCCCTAAAATGGAACATGGTTCTGTCACTGAACTTGTTGCAAAGATGGCTTGGTTCAGCTTGCTCAGGGTGGTACTTCTGCACAAACATTTGGACATCATTCCACTTGGACCTCATTCCACTTCTGTATTATTTCCTTCTTCACATTTATGGTGTTTCTCACTTTCTTTACCACAAGGGTACCACTAGCAAGTTTCTTTGGGCCCAGTGTAGCTTATTTCACAGTCCCACAAGCACTAAATACAATGAAATAATCGTAAAATGTTTGAATGAGAGCACAGGTTAGTATTCACTCAAGCATTAACAAAATCAGACTGGCTCACGGCGCCTGCGTGGGGACAGGTCCGTTACCCGGTGGTTCGAAAACAGGGGCGAGTTCGATAATAGGGACAAAGTTGGTTCGAAAAAAGCGTTCTATTTTCGAAGAGTTCGGTAAGTGATACGTTCGAAATTTGAGGTTCCACTGTAAGAGTATTGGTACCACAATGCTCTCATACATTTCCTTCTTTACCTCCCTGGATAACGTTCTTTGTCTCCCCAGATACCTCAATGCACCACTCACCTTGTTTCCTTCATCAGTAACATGATTTACCTCGTCCTTCATAAAACCATCCGCGGACAAGTCTACCCCCATCTATCTGAACACATTCATTTCCATACTCCCTCCCTCCAATGTGATATCCAATTTTTCTTTAACTCGTTTGGTACCTTCATCACCTTACTCTTATCTATGTTCACTTTCAGCTTTCTTCCTTCACACAACCTCCCAAATTCGTCGACTAACCTTTGTAATCTCTCTTCAGAATCTCCCAGACGCACAGTATCATCAGCATAAAGTAACTGTGTCAACTCTTATTTTGTATCTGATTCCCCATAATTTAATCCCACCCTTCTCCCCAGCACCCTAGCATTTACACTACTTTTACGACCCTATCTATAAATATATTAAACAACCATGGTGACATTACACATCCCTGTCTAAGACCTACTTTTACCGGGAAGTAGTCTCTCTCTCTTCTACACACCCTAACCTGAGCCTCACTATCCTCATAAAAACCTCTTTACAGCATTTAGTAACTTACCACCTATTCCATATACTTGCAACATCTGCCACATTGCTTCCCTATCCACCCTATCATATGCCTTCTCTAAATCCATAAAAGAAACGAAAACTTCCCACCTTAATCTAAATACTGTTTCTATATATGCTTCAATGTAAACACTTGGTTTACACATCCCCTACCCATTCCAAAGCCTCCTTGTTCATCTGCATACATCCTAATGTATATATATACTGATAGATGTGCAATTATTAATGTATATACAGTACACACACACTTCTAGCTGTGCAATAATGATAATAATAATGAAATATAATTACCTGGCAACCTCCAGAAGTTGTATGACCCCTACTGGTTTAGCGCTTGCCAGTGACTAATAATAATAAATCTTTGGTGCAGGTGATTGTGTACCCGACGAAAGAGTCGCTGAAGACGGTGGGCGCCGTGCTGATGCTGCTGCTCATATGGGTGATCTCCTTCATGCTGGCGCTGCCCAACTTCATCTGGCGCACGCTGAAGCATCACGAGGTCAACCTGCCCAACCTGTGCTCCGTCAACTTCTGCTTCGAAGACTGGCCCACGGAGCACGGCCGCGGCTACTACAGCGTTTTCGTCATCCTGGTGCAGTACTGCCTCCCCATCATCACCGTCAGCATCTCCTATGCTATGATCTGCCGGAAGCTGAAGAGGCGCATGGCCAACAGCGCCGTCAGGTCGTCCAAGAAGGGAGAGCAGGATGGGAGGAGGATAAAGAAGACCAATACCCTTCTTATCACCATTGCCCTCATCTTCTGCCTCTCGTGGCTTCCACTCAACCTCTACAACCTCGTCGTCGACTTTTACAACCCCTTCGGCAACGAGATGGAGACGATGCTCATCGTCTACGCTATCTGTCACATGATGGGCATGTCGTCGGCCTGTTCTAACCCCCTCATGTACGGTTGGCTCAACGATAATTTCCGCAAAGAGTTTCACGAAATCTTCAGTATAGTGCTGCCCTGCAGGGAGCCACATCAACGAGGCAGACCAGGGCAGTGTAGACCCAATGAGAGACTCCTCGCAAAGCCCTCCAAATCGCCGCCAAAACCTCAGTCAAAGGAGGAGCGGCCGATGGTACTCTACACAAAGGCCAAGGAAACGACACAGGTCAACGGAACCTGCGCCAGTGACCAAGGCGAAGTTACTTACATCACCCAAGTCGTCACCAACGCCACCCTGTAGTCAGGTGAGTGAACTTTCACTCACCCACCTGCACAACACACACACACACACACACACACAACACACACACACACACACACACACACACACACACACACACACACACACACACACCACACACACACACACACACACACTGGAATGAGCAAACAGTGGAGGCAAACTCAATATATACCTTCAGGACCCGAGACGCCAGAGATTAATAATATGTCGAAGGTCGAAGTTTCAGAGAGGAAGCCAGGAGCTTAGACGCAACCCCGAACATCTATACACACCTACACGCCAGAAATATTTGTAATCCTAGTAGCAGGGAGCCGGACAAAAGGTGGCGGGGCTGAAAACAGATACCAGAGATTCCTGTTTCCATCTGCTTTCAGTGTATGTGATTACCTATTTGTAGATACATCAACTATGTGACCCATACGGATTTGCCGCTTGTTACCTAAATAATAATGATAATAACAATAAATGTACATATATGAGTATGTGATGTGATGGCGAGAGAGAGAGAGAGAGAGAGAGAGAGAGAGAGAGAGAGAGAGAGAGAGAGAGAGAGAGAGAGAGAGAGAGAGAGGAGAGAGAGAGAGAGAGAGAGAGAGAGAGAGAGAGAGAGATTAACAAGTAAAAAGACACCAACAAACAAACAAGATACAAAAATTTGGTCATTACAAAACTTTTATTAAAAAACTTGCGAACACGACAAGAGGCGCCAACTCCTCCGCCGCGGAAACACTAAGAAACTTAAGTTGATGTGCAATTAATACCATGAGTGTGCTTAGAAAATGTGAATGGCTCTGGAGTCACTATACATGATGTCCTTGCTTCTAAACAAAAACTCCAACAGAGTAACTACTGCAATCATTTCTGATATATTATCAGGCCAGTCACGATACCGTGTGAGGAGATCAGAAGAGTTCTGGCAAAATTTTTGACGTGGAGAAAGATGTGTCCAAGCCAAGGCGTAATTAGAAATTATCAAGAGGAAGTGAACCTTGGTATTGTCTCACCAGATGCACCGAGGAGTGGAGGATTAAGAATGGATATGATCACCACCTACAGTACAAGATGGATAAAAGATGCAGTTCACTTCTACACATCCAGTCAAGAATACTTAAATCTCTAAAAGAGGCATTAGTGTAAATTCTCAAGTGTATATAAACAGAAGTATACACCTCTAGATGAGCATAGTTCCTTGATAATGTGAGAAATCACGAAAGCACTTGAAATTTCACTATTTTTTTCACAGTGATTATTCTGCATATTGTGATACCAACTATTTACTGTGATCTTATTTCATGCATATATATATATATATATATATATATATATATATATATATATATATATATATATATAATATATATATATATATATATATTATATATATATAGTGCAAAGATGAGTAGTGGGGGGGTTGAAGAGGGTTGGAATAGTTTTAAAAATGCAGTATTAGAATGTGGGGCAGAAGTTTGTGGTTATAGGGGTGGGGACAGGAGGAAAGAGGAGTGATTGGTGGAATGATGAAGTAAAGGGTAGATAAAAGAGAAAAAGGTAGCTTATAGAGGTTTTTACAAAGCAGAAGTGTTATAAGAAGAGCAGAGTATATGGAGAGTAAAAGAAAGGTAAAGAGAGTGGTGAGAGAGTGCAAAAGGAGAGCAGATGATAGAGTGGGAGAGGCACTGTCAAGAAATTTTAATGAAAATAAGAAAAAAATTTGGAGTGATGTTAAACAAGTTAAGAATGCCTAGGGAAAGTATGGATTTGTCAGTTAAAAACAGAGTAGGGAGTTAGTGGATGGGGAGATGGAGGTATTAGGTAGATGGCGAGAATATTTTGAGGAACTTTTAAATGTTAAGGAAGAAAGAGAGGCAGTAAATTTCATGCACTGTCAGGGAGGTATACCATCTTTTAGGAGTGAAGAAGAGCAGAATGTAAGTGTGGTGGAGGTACGTGAGGCATTACGTAGAATGAAAGGGGGTAAAGCAGCTGGAACTGATGGGATCATGACAGAAATGTTAAAAGCAGGGGGGGATATAGTGTTGGAGTGGTTGGTACTTTTGTTAATAAATGTATGAAAGAGGGGAAGGTACCTAGGGATTGGCGGAGAGCATGCATAGTCCCTTTATATAAAGGGAAAGGGGACAAAAGAGACTGTAAAAATTATAGAGGAATAAGTTTACTGAGTATACCAGGAAAAGTGTACGGTAGGTTATAATTGAAAGAATTAGAGGTAAGACAGAATGTAGGATTGCGGATGAGCAAGGAGGTTTCAGAGTGGGTAGGGGATGTGTTGATCAAGTGTTTACATTGAAGCATATATGTGAACAGTATTTAGATAAAGGTAGGGAAGTTTTTATTGCATTTATGGATTTAGAAAAGGCATATGATAGAGTGGATAGAGGAGCAATGTGGCAGATGTTGCAAGTATATGGAATAGGTGGTAAGTTATTAAATGCTGTAAAGAGTTTTTATGAGGATAGTGAGGCTCAGGTTAGGGTGCGTAGAAGAGAGGGAGACTAATTCCCGGTAAAAGTAGGTCTTAGACAGGGATGTGTAATGTCACCATGGTTGTTTAATATATTTATAGATGGGGTTGTAAAGGAAGTAAATGCTAGGGTGTTCGGGAGAGGGGTGGGATTAAATTTTGGGGAATCAAATTCAAAATGGGAATTGACACAGTTACTTTTTGCTGATGATACTGTGCTTATGGGAGATTCTAAAGAAAAATTGCAAAGGTAAGTGGATGAGTTTGGGAATGTATGTAAAGGTAGAAAGTTGAAAGCGAACATAGAAAAGAGTAAGGTAATGAGGGAATCAAATGATTTAGATAAAGAAAAATTGGATATGAAGGATGGACTTATGAAGGATGAGGTTAATCATAGAATTGATGAGGGAAAAAAGGTGAGTGGTGCGTTGAGGTATATGTGGAGTCAAAAAACGTTATCTATGGAGGCAAAGAAGGGAATATATGAAAGTATAGTAGTACCAACACTCTTATATGGGTGTGAAGCCTGGGTGGTAAATGCTGCAGCGAGGAGACGGTTGGAGGCAGTGGAGATGTCCTGTTTAAGGGCAATGTGTGGTGTAAATATTATGCAGAAAATTCGGAGTGTGGAAATTAGGAAAAGGTGTGGAGTTAATAAAAGTATTAGTCAGAGGGCAGAAGAGGGGTTGTTGAGGTGGTTTGGTCATTTAGAGAGAATGGATCAAAGTAGAATGACATGGAAAGCATATAAATCTATAGGGAAGGAAGGAGGGGTAGGGGTCGTCCTCGAAAGGGTTGGAGAGAGGGGGTAAAGGAGGTTTTGTGGGCAAGGGGCTTGGACTTCCAGCAAGCGTGCGTGAGCGTGTTAGATAGGAGTGAATGGAGACGAATGGTACTTGGGACCTGACGATCTGTTGGCGTGTGAGCAGGGTAATATTTAGTGAAGGGATTCAGGGAAACCGGTTATTTTCATATAGTCGGACTTGAGTCCTGGAAATGGGAAGTACAATGTCTGCACTTTAAAGGAGGGGTTTGGGATATTGGCAGTTTGGAGGGATATGTTGTGTATCTTTATATGTGTATGCTTGTAAACTGTTGTATTCTGAGCACCTCTGCAAAAACAGTGATAATGTGTGAGTGTGGTGAAAGTGTTGAATGATGAAAGTATTTTCTTTTTGGGGATTTTCTTTCTTTTTTGGGTCACCCTGCCTCGGTGGGAGACGGCCGACTTGTTGAAAAATATATATATATATATATATATATATATATAATATATATATATATATATATATATATATATATATATATATATACATATATATATATATATATATATATATATATATATATATATATATATATATAATATATATATATATAATAATATATATATATAATATATATATATGCAAAACAACCACTCTGAAAGAATAAAAGAAATTCCAAGCGCTTTCGTGACTACTCACATTATGAAGGAACTATGAAAGTAAAGCATCCAAGGAAGCTATATAAGGGTCTGGCCAACACCTCACTATCAGATCCCACAACGGTTAAACACCTGACACGCGCCGGCCCAACTGGACAGGTCCTTTGCACAACTCACCAACAAACTATTCTACCCAAGAAAATTTAAAAATTATATTTGTCCAGTGTATTATTAAATTCTTCCCAAATTCTATTAATTATAAATGGATCTAATTTATATAAACCAAAGGAAATATTCATATTATTGTCAAAACTGCTTTTTATGAAACAAGATTCAATTATATTCCTGTCGACCATGACTTGCTTGATACTACTTTCTCAACTTTTTGAAATCAATTGGAATGGTTAAAATCTCTTACATGAATAAATAGAGCATTGGAATCTTGTCCAGTTCTAATGCTATATTTATGTTGTTTTAATCTTAGTTCGAGATTTTTACCAGTTTGACCGTAATAAACTTCATCGCAAATTTTACAAGGAATCTTATAGACATATCCATCAGCATTTTGGGGGGAATTCTTAATCAAAAGTTTTTTTACTGTATCAAGATTTTTAAATACAACTTTAATATTAAAAGTCTTAAGAAGAGAAGGCATATCAACCAAGTTTTCATGGTAAGGGAGAACCAACATATTTTTAGTTGAATAAGGCTGGTTGTCCCTTTTTGATTGTAAAAAGTATATTTCAACAAGTCGGCCGTCTCCCACCTATTCAGGGTGACCCAAAAGAAAGAAAATCCCCAAAACGAAAATACTTTCGTCATCCTTCAACACTTTCACCTCACTCAATCACTGTTTTTGCAGAGGCGCCCAGATACAACAGTTTAGAAGCATATATAAAGATACAGTATAAAAAATGACCTGAAATAATGTAATAAACTCCCTATAGAATATAATATCAGGTCCCCAATTATATATATATACCGTCCTATTACACATCACTCCAAACTGCCAATATCCTAAACCCCTCCTTCAGAGTGCAGGCATTGTACTTCCCATTTCCATAAATGTGTACATGTAAATATCTCATATGTAA